ACTATATGCCATATGAGAGAAACCAGTAAAAATGGTTATGCCATGCAAATACTAGAAAAAGAAAACATTTTATCAAAATCGATTATGCATGGTATAATTTATGAAAAAGTTGCATTAAAACAGTATATTGATTTATACAAGGTAGATGTGACAGAAAGTGGAGTGCATATTTCAGAAGAAAGGCCTTATTTGGCTGCTTCGCCTGATGGTATTTTAAATGAAGAGACATTAATTGAAATAAAGTGTCCTTATGCTAGTAGATATCAAGTTATAAGTCCAACTACAGTACCATACTTAATCTACATTGACAATAAGTTATGTTTAAAAGCAGAAACACCATATTATTATCAAGTTCAAGGGCAACTTTACTGCAGTAACAGAAAATATTGTAATTTTATAGTTTATACCTTTAAAAGTTTAGAGGTGGTTTTTGTTAATAGAGATGATGAATTCATAGAGCAAATGCTATACAAATTGGACTCTTTTTATCATTCTTATTTCAAGAAAGCTATAATCAACAAATATTTTTATAAGAATTATTTAGAAATTATAAAACATGATTTTTCTGAATAACCATAATTAAAATGTGTTATTTTTTGATGATTATTGTGCCAAGGTATTGTGAAAACAGAAAATAAAAAATATTTTATAATAATAAGGCTTTTATTTAGAACTATTGTCTGTGTAACAAAATTGCGTATTAAAATTTCACCTTCGAATTAACAAAATATTATAAAAATGAAACACTTCGACCAAAAGGTTTCTGGACATTGAGATAAGATGTTAAAAATATTAATTTACAATTTTTTCCCTAAAGTTACATAACATAAGGCACACAAAAAATATTTTTGACATTAACGGAACATAGTATGCATTGACATCAGTTTTAAAAATTTTATAAGTTTTTATCAGACCTATTAAACGTTCAATATGTATTCGATTAGCAGCTAATTTCTGGTCATGTTTCAATTTTATACCAGGTAATTGAGATAAACCTTTCAAAAAATTTGGCACAAGTAATGTTATGTCTCTAGGTGCTAACAAATCTTGAATGTTAAATCCCCGATCTGCCATGATTCCATCACCTGGATTACATTTATGAATAACATTACAGCGTTCTATGATTTGCCTGTCACTAGTTGATCCTCCATATCCTTCTGAACAATATGACAGTAGTCCACCAGGTGTGGAGCCAACCAGAAACTTAATTGTGTTGTGATGTTTATAACTACTAAAAGTGGCCTGTTGTGATTTTGGGTTTTTAGGTCTTGTGATAGGCACTTCAGTTCCATCTATAATTACTCTGGTAATTTTATGGTTTTTTTTAAACTGTGATGGCATAAAATAATCAACGAGTTCTCTACTTGGCCATATATTTAGTTTTGACCACAATTGGTGTACAAAATTTATCCATGTTACAAATACATTACCTACTTCTGATTTACTGATATCAAAATGTTTTGATAGAATAAAATCATCTAAGTTTCTTCTGAGTTTCATTAACATAAGTAAAAACTGATCTTCAATAGACATATTCATAACATAATTCCTACGATAAGAAATACTGTATGCCATCGGCAAAAGAGTTGATAAAACAGTCTTAAACTTCTCATAGCTTTCCAGTCCAGTATAGTATAGTATAGTTTCATCATCTGTCATAAGCTGATAGTTTGAAAAAAGAAAATTCAAACGTGGAGTTTGTGTAAATGAATTCACAAGCCTGATTGATCTTTCTGGTTCATCGCTAACCATGTTTCCTATCTCATGTGTTTTAATTTCAATTTCCATTTGTACATCGGGCAGATTTTCTTCTTTATCAGAGACTGCATTTCTATCTTCCATGGAGTAATTACCAGTAAGTGTTTCTATAGGGTTCTGTGGAGGAAATAATTCTTTCTTTGCTGACCTTTTAATGTATCGATTTTGTCGTTCTATAGCAGATGTTGAAGGTTTAGGTGTCCATGGGAAAATGGAGGGAACAACACCTTTTTTTAAATGTTTACAAAGTGGTGGCAGTCCTGGAAATAAATTTCACTTATTATTTCAGTGACAACAAACACACGCAATAATAACCTGTTTACTAGAAAACTAATTAAAAAATATATGATTTCTATCTTTTCGGTCAAAGGGTCATCTTAAATAAGATAATTTTACCTGTCGTAGCACAAATTTCTTGATAATCGGATTCTTTAAAATGTTTATAGCATAACCTGGAATTCTTTGAAGCATTGAATTTTTTTATTTTTGTAGCTTTTTCCCATAACTTTTTTAATTTCGGATCGCTTGGAAATGTATGTCTTCCATTCTCATTTCACCCTACTATCACACATCGAGGCATTTTTAAATGAAACCAAAAAATAAAACTTTGTAATTACTCCAAAATCATTGGTTATGGGCACTGACATGAAATATACTACTACCCCTATACTTATTATACTCTTTGTATACTACGTTCATGTCAGTGGTTATGAGTCAGAAATACAAAGCGCAGCCTAGCGGAGGAAAAATGTACTATCCAGTAAACAACTCCATTCGTTCGCGCTAAAATTCAAAATTCGAAGCCCCCCGCCCACGGCTCGCTCGAGCGGCCCCGCGCTCGCGCCAACAGTCCCCGCCGAAACGTTGAGTGAGTAGCGTGTTCGAAGACGGTCCGCGTTCCCGCCAACTTTCTCGATTTTTGAATTCATTGTGGAAACATCCAGCCCTAATCTGTTACACAAAGAGTTGCTCTATGCTCATGCTAGCTCCCCAATTACCCACCCATTGCGCCAGCCGTACCTATTATCTATATAATCTATCTACATACTTAATCTATGATATAAGCATTTCTTTATAATACATTTTTATAAGGGGGCAAATCATCGAATGACTTTTACTGACTAAAAACCACCCCGTTTCTACTCCTGCACTTCAAGCCGGAGCTCCGGCAACCCGTTAAACCCTCTGCTCCGTATCGGTATCAGCCCTGTTGGGTCCCATCTGTGGTGGTCTGATGACTCTTACAGGCACGCGCGGAACACGACGCGCTGTACGGTCGGGTTCTTTATATAATACTACTTACCTATTTGATTTCGTTATATTCAATCAATATATTTCCATCTACAACTTGAAATAAATTTAATATACACTAGCGGACCTCACAGACGTTGCCCTGCATATAATATGATATCTAATAGGTATAGATAAATAACTTAGAAACCGACTGCAGCGCCATCTGCCAGGCTGATTTGTGAATCTAAACCATCCAGGGCGCCACCCAAATGCATACAGAAAAATTCATTTAAATCGGTCAAGCCGTTTAGGAGAAGTTCAATGACATACACACGTACAGCAGAATTAATAAAGATAGGCCTTAATAATTGGTATCAAACTACTGCCAGCTACCTAAATGCATCGTGCCCTCCCTATGTCTGTGTTTACAAAGCTTTGTTTCCACTCCAGAACTCCTCTACCCCAAAAGTCATCAATTCTGCCATCTAGTGCATTCACTTGTTAATTCTTTGTATTGTAGAAACCACACTAAACGAAACTAGTGGTGCCCTCTGCTCTCAGCAGTGTTAACTATTTGTAACTAAATAATAGTTGTATTCTCATGTTCTGCATAATATAACATCACGCCTTTTATTTCCGAAAGGTAGGCAGAGGTGTACATTACGGCACTTAATGCCACTGTCTTCGATCAACAATGTACAATGTAACTCCCACTTTTTAGTATTAATGTTACGAGTCCCATGTAGTATGGGGTGAGCCTATTACCATATACCAGACACAATTCCAGGCGCTGTGCTACTACTGAGATTGTTTTAAAAACCCCGTAATACTTTGCCCGACCCGGGAATCGAAACCAAGACCTCTTGCCCGGCAGTCGCACTTGCGACCACTCTGCCAACGAGGCAGTCTATTAATTAACCGACTTCAAATAAAAAGGGGGTTGAAGTCAGTTTTTTAATGTGGTGTATAAAATAATTATTTGTAAAGGTGATTACTATTATACTTTGATCATTATTTAAGGTAAAAAAAAACAATAACACCGTTTATATTTTTATTTAGGTATTACAATTAAACATCCAATAGCCATAGTTATTACCTAAAATAATAATTTAATTTAAATTACATTAAGCCGAACAATTACAGGGTAATTTTTACATATACATTTTACAGTCGAAAGTATGAGTACCTAATCATAGGAAAATCTATTTAAATAAATTAAAATGCCCTTTTCTTTAATTCAAGAACTTATCACAATTTTTTGTTCTACACATGACGATGTACCTACTTTACTAATAATAAAAAAGTCGGGAATAATTTAATTTATTCTCTGACAGAATAAACATTAATGTTTAAATATACATAATAAATTTAAATGCAATAACCATAAAATATTACCTATTAATTAAAAAAATAAGATTTTTAACGAACTTATAATAGTAAAACAGTTCAGAAACTTATACTGTAACCAATTATTATGAACTAACTTTTCACCTGCGGTTTTTCTCGCCAGGAACTTAATGTTAAGACTTACGGCGCGATTTTCTACCGCGCCTGCCGCCCTCATGGAATGGAGATTATTTAAACACGCACAGAATCTTTCCTACTTCAAAAATACTTTGAACTCAAAATTAACCCCTCGAGCGTCCTTATGAGCACCCGGTGGATCATAAGAAAAAATGCACCATGCTGCCTTCTCCTTTATAAAATCTATTATTGTATTGACTGTATTTTTTATTTATATTGTAATGATCCTTGTTTTCGTGTGTCAATGGCCAAATAAATGCATTTTCTTTATTTCTTTCTTTCTTTCTCCAAATGTCACGTGTGCACCCGTTGGATCATGAGGAACGCGGACGCTCGAGAGGTTAAGCTTATTAATAGCGAAATATTTCTTCAAACCCATACAGTACTTTCAGAGCCAATTCAATGCAAACTAAAACAAATACGTCCACTTTATAACATAACATCAGTATACATTAAAATGAACCTTAAAACTATTAACTTAAAGTCTAATCTACACTTAAAGCCCTAAAAGACCCAGGCATGCCTATGTACTGTTCTGTGAATTTGTCCGACTGCCTGCAAGCTTCATCCGTCTTGGCTTCATACATCTCGGCGAAGTATTCCATGAAGTCTTTGGACGTTAACGCATCTCGCCATTCATCTATAATGAAAAAGTAAATTATTTAATAATATTATTATTTTTAATACATATAACATAACAATTGTTATGTCAATCCTCTTAACCCCGAAGGGATTTTTTTTTAAGCGGGGAACATCATCAACTGACTCATTTGCTCCCGTCTGGGTGACGCGGGAGGGAGTGTCAGACTCTTACTGACTAAAAACCACCCCGTTCCTTCTCCTGCACGTCGAGCCGGAGCCCCGGTTACGTTACCCGTTAGGTTCTCCGGGACTCCGAATCGGCATCGGCCCTGTTAGGCTCCGAACCCCGAAGGGGTAGGCTAACGTGCTCATTACGGCACTTAATGTCACTGTACAGTTAACACCCACTTTTCACTATTCATGTTATGACTCCCATGTAATAGGGGGTGAGCCTTTTGCCATATACTGGACACCATTCCAGACTTTGTGCTACTACTGAGATTAAAAAAAAAATACTGTATAGCTATGCCTGTCCCGAGCCTATTGCCATATACCGGACACGATTCCAGACTCCGTGCTACTAATGAGATTTTTAAAAAAAATTGCTATGCCCGACCCGGGAATCGAACCCGAAACACCTTACCCAGTCGCACTTGCGACCACGTGGCCAACGAGGCAGTCGGAGCAGTAGAAACTGCTCTCACACACGTAATTTAATTATTTTTAGACTCAAAATGTAGCAACAGAAGAATGTTAACTCTAACCCAATAATAGCATCTATATGATATTTGTCCAGACCCGGATGTTTACTCGTGAAACCGATCTTAATGTCAATGCAATTTCAATCTAATTAAATCTCAATAATTATTCAATGTCAAAACTATACAGATATTGTAGCTGTTAAAATAGCATTCAGAGCGTACTCTTACGTATTCCGTAGAATATAAAGCTAAACTCAATATAATTTAGTTCATTAAATATCCACGCAATAAGGATGCATTTTTTTTAAGGGGGGAGAATCATCGAATGCCTGCTCCCGCCTGGGTGAGGCGGGAAGAAGTGTCAGACTCTTACTGACTAAAAACCACTCCGTTCATATGAACGAGTTGGTTTGGCAGGAGTAGTCCTGCACTTCGAGCCGGAGCCCCGGTAACCCGTTAGGTTCTCCGCGGCTCCGTGGCATCAGCCCTATTGGGCCCCATCCGTGGTATCAGACCACCACCTCTTTGAGGCGCGCACGGAACGCGACGCGCCGTACGCTCGGGTCTGGTTCTGGTCGGGCGTCGAGCCACCAATGCTCGCCGTCCGCAGGCCCGCGCTGGGTGGCCGAAGATCGTAATAAAGATGCACTGGGAGCTAAGTGTTGAGTCTCGAGAATAAAATTTCACAATACCAATGTCGATCTATTGGAATTGGATTCAAAAGTAAGTCCCCTAGCAAGTGTAATTGACATTGTTATACTACAGAGTACATAGACACCATGACACACTTTTCTTTAAGAGCAAATCCTTACTAGTCCTTACTATATTATACATCGGAAAGTGAGTTTGTTTGTTTGTTTATTTGTTCCGACTTCACGCCGTAACTACTAAACCGATTGCATTGAATTTTTGCAGACGTAAAGTTAGTAGTCTGGATTAAACAATAGGGTACTTTTTATCCCGAATAAATTTGATATTCCCGACGGAAAACAAAAGTATTGGTATAGATGGCGCTGTATGTATTGGTATATGTTACATAGGCTACTTTTTATCCTTTTGTAAAGCCGCGGTTAAAAGCTAGTAATACATAATGGTACCTAACAACATTTATTTTCCATAATTATACAACATCAGTTAACTTAATTAATTCCCATAAGGCAGCAGAGCATGGGTAGTACCTAAGTGCAGGCACTTCACGCTGCTAATTATATTATTCCCTTGGCCATAATATAACATGGCTGTAAGCAAGTGTAGACCTTACATACATGTAATTATGTATTAGAGTGTCTCTTCGAGAATCGTTAATTTTTACATAACACAACATTACTCCTTTTATCCCTGAAGAGGTAGGCAGAGGTGCAGATTACGGCACTTAGTGCTACTGTATAATGTAACACCCACTTTTCACTATTAACTTATGAGTCTCGTGTAATTATCCTTCCATGTTGTTAAACATCGCAGTAAGTTATTAGCATCTGTATTTTTATTGGATTGGTTGTTTGGTTGAGTGTTTTCATCAGCACAATAGTTAACTTTGGTTTTAGGAAAATGACGCCGTTAAGTTTTTGCATTTTTTATAAAATCATCATGGTAGGCAGAGGCATGGGGTAGGCAGAGATGCACATTATGTCACTGTACAATGTAACACCCACTTTTCACTATTTATGTTATGAGGCGTGAGCCTATTGCCATATACTCTAGTTCACAACAATTCCAGACTCCGTGCTACTACTGAGATTTATTTAAAAACCCAGTAATACTTTGCCCGACCCGGGAATCGAACCCGAGACCCCTTGCCCGGCAGTTGCACTTGCGACCACTCGGCCAACGAGGCAGTCGTTTTATAGAGGTAGAATCACCCATTACATAACATAACATAGACGTTTCGAAGGAGTAGATGAGGATAAACCACTTTTATATTCAACAGCTAGTTGAATATAAAAGTTGTATTGGTTCATTGGCACCGGCCAATCACAACGCTGAACGCGTACTCGTGTCGAATAGGTACTTTAAACGTAAATCAAACTTGTACTATGACTTCTGGACTCATAATTTTAATTATAAGTTTTAAATCACCAACTCCCATTGAGGAATCGTTGTGATTAACCTGTGAACTGTCGGAACGCAAATTTACGCGACACACAATATCGACAGACAAGAGGTTAAATGCTCAAACCTTCTCCAAGCGAGAAGAGGCCTTTGGTCAGCATTGTCCACTTTTTTTTCTTTTTTTTTTTAAACGTTGCCCTACTTTAGGGTTTTCTCCTGTGTCGTGTCGTGTGTTTACAAACATACAAGTTCACATACACAATGACACCCAGACTCGAGACAACAATTTGTGGATCACATAAAGTATTGTTCCGTGGGGGAATCGAATCCGCGACTCGTTGCCCATACAGCCACCGCACCAACCGTGCAGTCGACTTATATGCTATCAGTTGATGATAATTTGTGATGATTAACAATCAAACGTGCTGTGAATTTTATCACTACAGCCATTACGGTACCAAAATGCTTACCAGAAATTATCTGAAGAGACTTTGCAGGTCCTCCATACTCCACAGGCAGCACATCTTTTGGTACAAAATCGTACAAAGTATCAAGGTTCTTGTGCATATGTATTCTCCCTGCCAGCTTTGTACTTAGAACTTGTTTTAGAAAACTGACTAGTGTATCCAGCATTTTAGATTCTGTTATCAGATGGATCTGCTTTATACGAATTCCGTAGCCTTCCTGAAATGAAAAAAACAAAGTGTAACACGAGGGTTAACAGTTAGGTTTGGGCGCATGCCTTACGGCGGCGAGACATACCACCGCCCAGCTGCGGCCCAGATGTGGCGCAAGGGTCCTTTATTGTCTTTGCTCGGACGCACCCTTAACGGAGTGAAAGCGAACCCCCGCCAACGACAGTGGACAACTAGCCGCGAGAGCGCATAGCCACTATTCCGCGAGACACCCGGTTACATTAACTAATTTTAAGTTAACCCCTGTTTGTGTAGTTTTATAGACACCTGTTCAGTTAATAAACGTTTTCACTATAGTTTTCGCTCATTCGAACCTCATTTCCATCTCACACCCTGACGTAGAGGCTGCAATATAAAGCCCAACGTTACAAAAGTTACATATGTGGACTACCAGTCTTTTTATTTGTTGGACCTTCGTATGGTTCTGTCTATGTAGGTAGGTCTATGCCAAAAATTAAAAATAATGTTTTTTCTTTTTTTTTATGGCATAAGCCGGTAAATGAGCAGACGGATCACCTGATGGTAAGCAATCGGCGTCGCCCATGGACACCAGGAACACCAGAGGCGTTAGAAGTGCGTCACCGGCTTTTTGGGGATTAGGAGTTTGAGGATCGTTGGGGATTCAGGGATTGGGGAGATTGGGGAAGAGGAAGGTAATTGGGCCTCCGGTAACATCACTCACACGACGAAACACAACGCAAGCGTTGCTTCACGTCGGTTTTCTGTGAGGCCGTGGTATCACTCCGGTCGAGCCGGCCCATTCGTGCCGAAGCATGGCTCTTCCACACTTAAACTTTTCTAGCTAAAAACGACGAAATCTAAAACTCGAGACTAGTTTTACTGCATGACCACTTGACAATTAACCTTTTTGATATAGACAAACAATATGCTTGTTTCCTTTTTATTTTAATGTCCGTCTGGTATATTTATTTAAAACATTATACTCGTATTTTTTATTTTCTCACAAAATTAAACGTACAGGGTGTAAACGGAAAGCTCCCAAAATATGCTGACAGAAATAATCTATACATATGAAAATGAATCCCTTTTTCCTTTGGTCACGGCATCACGCGTGAGTGGCTGGACCGATAATACCTCTAGTAGTAGATGGTAATAGACAGTTATTTTTTTTGTTGAATTTGTTATTGTTAGGACAAGGTTCTTAAGACAGAATAAATCCAGAAATTCCTACGGGAACGGAAGAAAATGGGATTTTATAAAATTCTTATCGTTGTTGTTTACATTACATGTTATTCATAGAACGTCCGCTTTGAGCGGTTAATTACAACCATTATTAGGTACATAAAAGAAACACAACATTAATTTCTTACTTTTATGAAATTAAAACTGTATTTTGACCATCATCTGTCGGCGTTCATCGGAAGCGTTACAGTTACACCCTGTATTAATTTGAAATACCATGTGACGTCACAACGTGCTACATTTTGTACCACTTTGTGACGTAACGACCTCCCACTCCTAAACTAATAAAGTTTTGTACATGGATAAAATGGAGTTAGTTTTATCTAAGTACAAAACTTTATACAAGAAAATTAATAAATACGTGTCCAATATTTTTTCATTATCTAACTGACGGACTAATTCGATTTTTAATTGTCGTACCCTGGCAACTACCCTATTGTGACAATGTGATTCAAAATATTTAGTAAATATATGCCGGAATACTGAAATGTTACTCAATTTTAAGTCGTGGTCAAATATCGTGCCATCTCTGTCATTTTACAAAGAATTTGTAGATATAGAACTATACTTAAGCATGACTTAAAATTGAGTAGCGTTTCAGTATTCCGACAATAGTCTCGCAACACACGATACAATTAGCATTAAGTGTAAATTCATAACAACATTGAAATGAAATAACCGTAAGGTTTGAAAGAACTTGTTGATTCTGTAATGGAAATTTATGACGACCTGTAGATACATACCTACTAGAAAATTATTTGTCGAATAAACAAATATGACTAAATATTACAAATTTTATATTGTACAACTTTGTTTATGACACCACGCCTTTTTACCCCCGTAGAGGTAGGCAGAGGTGCATATTACGGCACTTAATGCCACTGTAGATAGTAAAACCCACTTTTCACTATTTATGTTATGAGTCCTGTGAGTGAGTAATATGAGGTGAGCTTATTGACATATACCGGACACAATCCCAGACTTCGTGCCACTACTGAGATTTTTTTGTAAAAAATCCTGTAGTAGTTTGCCCGACCCGGGAATCAAACCAGAGACCCCTTGCCCGCCAGGCGCACTTACGACCACTCAGTCAATGATGCAGTCAAAGTTTTATATTTTTATAATAATTACTAGCAAACCCGCGAACTCCATTTCGCCACCAGGTTATTCCTGAATTTTCTTTGCTATAAACCTCACGGAGCTAGAGACCTTTCCAACAAATGCAAAACTGTGGAAATCGGTTCGTGCGTTCTGGAGTAATAGCGTCAGGAAGGAAAACCCGACTTATTTTTATAGAGTAGATAAATATTTAAATTCATAGCAACAACACGGAGACCATAATTATGCTTGACGAATATCGACAGGCGTTATGAAGTAATTGTCTGTTGATTCTTTCGAATAAGTAACAAATACTTTAACCATCTGTATTAACCAATTTTAGAGTTGCTTATATTAATATTTTTTATGCAGTACGGTTAAAAAAACTGAATTCAGCCCCGTCTTTTTTGAAATCGGTTAATGTTTAAAACCTACTTCTACTAAGTGTAACAAACGATTCCCGGGTCGGGCAAAGTATTACTAGGTTTAAAAAAAATCTCAGTAGTAGCACGGAGTCTGGAATTGTGCCCGGTATACGGCAATAGGCTCACCCCCTGTTACATGGGACTCATAACATAAATAGTGAAAAGTGGGTGTTACATTGTACAGTGGCAAAAGGCGTGATGTTATGTGTTATGTTATGTTACGTTTAAAAAAACTAAATTCAACCCCTTCTTTTTTGAAATCGGTTAATGAGTAGGTAACATTTTAACCTTCTCCTAAGTGTAACAAAGGCTTGTCTGAAAACTGAATCAAAATCGGTTCCAATTGCGAGATAATCGCCTAGATATATACACACATATTATGGATCAAACTAAAAACTTTTTAAAAGTCGTTTAAAAACATAACAGCATGAATTAAAGGCTCTAGTATATTTTTTTTAATCTGTGAGCAATCTGCTTCTAGAATTGTTGCCTAATCATACGGCCAGGGATCAAAATAGGGATGATAACAGTGTATGAAAATTAAAAATCTAATTAGTCCGTCAGTTAGGTAATGAAAAAATATTAGACACGTATTTTTTTATTTTGTTGTATAATAAAATGATACTTAGGTATAATGAATCAAAGTTTAGGAATGGGGGCTAAAACGTCATTTCTACGTATAAAATGTACATACATAGAAGTGATGTCACGCGGCATTTCAAATCAATATATCTTAGAAATTATTCGTTTCCGTAAAAAAAATAAAAATACGTGTCTAATGTTTTTAAATACCAGACGGACATTAAAATAAAAATTAGTCATCTACCCTATTGAGATGGAAAATTAAAGAAACATAACATCACGCCTTTTATCCCCGAAGGGGTAGGCAGAGGTGCACACAGAGGTAACACCCACTTTTCACTATTTATGTTATGAGTCCCATGTAATAGGGGGTGGGTCTATTGCCATAATTATACCGGGCCCATTTGCAGACTCCGTGCTACTACTGAGATTTTTTTTAAACCCACTAATACTAATGAAAAGGTATTATAATACCTACTCACCGTCATTAAAGTGATGACTTGCCGTAAATCCATTGGCGTACATTTTGTTACGAACGTAAGTATATTCGCGTCCCTGAAGTCCAATGCGACAACAAATCCATTGTTATAGTCATTTATTTTAATATATTCACATATCTGTAACAAAAATTATACATAATTTTATATTTTCAAGGCTATTATAATCCAGTGTATGATAGTTCATGCTAATGAAGCTAATTAAATCTACTAACAACCAAAAAAAGTATTAGGCATAATTATTATGAGCTAAATGACAGTATATTTTAACAATTTAATTTTATTGTGATACCCAATTCGCCAAATAAACTGACAGATAGCAGAATCGACTATTCGGTTACGTTTTTAAAATTATCTTTTTCAAACGGGAAGATGGATCACCTGATGATAACGTGCACCGATCATGGATACGAGACCAAAGGAATCACGAGTGCGTTACCAGGTGCAGGAGTAGGAACAGGTTGGTTTTTAGGCAGTAAGAGTCTGACAATCTCGTCTCACCCGGACGAGAGAAGTTATTGGATGATTCTCTACCCTAAAAAAAGGGAATTGCAAATCAATTTAAACTTACCATAACAATATATTTATAGAAAAGGTGAATATGTCCAGAGTTATAATCGTCTGATTTCACGTTAAACAGCGACACACGATAATGATCCTTAGTTAATTTGGGTAAGAGTCCATATTGCCTGAAAGTATAAAATAACAATTAAAACCTGAAGACAAAGAAAAAGTACATAAGCACTGGTGTCTATAAACGTGAAGAGAGAGATAGAGAGAGAGACATTATTTTTATTACTCAACTCACAGGAGTTGCAGCAGTTTTGGGAGGCTGATCCTGGCTGACAGCAGCCAGGATCTACAGTAGATACAACCATGAAAACACTGGAACACTGAAGTCCAGCGCGTCCCAAGGACATGAATAACTCTCTCTAGTAGATTAAGTGAAAGGAGGACAAACAAATATAAACATAATCATAATTGTGAAGATTAAGATCACTTACGAAGTGCTTTACAGTCTAATACAAGTCCACTGTGATACAATAAAAACAAATTAAAAACGTTACTGTTGCTAAGCATTTATTTTATTCTTATAATTATACTTCTACATCACATTTTCCGTGCTCTTGATTGACACAAGTAAGTAAGTATAAAAGCAATAAAGCTTGTAAAAATATAAGGAAAAAAGAGCAGGAAAGGTTAATACAATACAGTTACACAACCGACTGATTTACGCCTTGTATGGAACTAGTACCATAAATGGTGAAGATTGGGTGTTAAACACATGCGCATATTTTTTTTATGGAGTATGAGGCAAACGAGCTTACGGATCACCTGATGTTAACAGTGATGAACACAGAACACCAGAGGAGTCACAGGTGCGTTGCCGGCTTTTTAAAAAGGAGTACGCTCTTTTTTTGAAGGTTTAACAAGAGATCATTCCACAGTTTTGTTGTGCGAGGCAGAAAGGTACGTGAGAAGCGCACAGTTGTGGCCTGCCAATCATCTATATGGTGGGGATGCATAATTATGCTGTTGTGAAAGTCGAATTATCTTATAATAGCCAACAGTCCTGTAGGATAATAACCTATGTGTATCTATTTCTGTTCCCTGGACGGGTCGCCTGAGTGCAAGCAATTAGCGCCGCCCTTTGACACCCGGAACACCAGAGGCGTTATCGGTTTTTTGGGAATTAGGAGAGGATTGTTGGGGATACAGGAATTGGAGACATTGAGGAGGGGAGTTTTTGATTTCTGAAGAAGATTGTAAACCTTATTTGAAACTAGCTACTTCCGCGCTACTACCCACTCAGCTTCTATTAATTGTAGCGTGATATTTTATGATAAATGCCCTATCCAACACAAAAAGAATTAATCAAATCGGACCTGTAGTTTCAGAGATTAGCGCGGTCAAATTAACTAAAAAAGAGTATAAGAAGTATATAAGAGGAGTATTAGATTAAACAATACTTACACGATAGGTTCTAAAGAATCAAAATGTCCTTTGGCTACTGATTTTGGATAATATTCAGGCAACAAAGTTTTGAAGGTGCACAGTTTGTCTATTCTTTGCTTTGCTCTCTCCACCATTCCTTTGGCAGAGATCAATGTTCTTTCTAGATAGGCTCGAGCTGGAATTAGAAAAGAAATATAATATAATATAATATAATATAGGGACAAGCCCGCCATAACCTCACAAAACCGCTGCAACTCCTGTAAGCCAGGATCTACAGTAGATACAACCATGAAAACACCGGAACACTGAAGTCCAGCGCGTCCCAGTGACATGAGTAACTGTGTTGGTTCCCGCAACGAAGTGAATCAGAAGATTTTATAAGAGGAAAAAAAACGATAGTTTCCACTTCCCTCGTTGAATTACTGCAGGAGACAGAATGAATTAAGCCTAAAGGCACAAAAGAGACTGTACGACTGGGTGGATGATTGTTGTACTATAAAGATTTTTTTTCCAGCCAGTTTTATAAAATCACCGTATGCACGGGCCTGTGGACGGCGAGCACAGGTAGCTCGTCGTACACCAGACCTGAGCGAACGACGCGACGCATTGCGTTTTGCGCGCGCCTCAAAGAGCCATTAGAGCACCACTGTTGAGATGAGATGGGGCCGCGGAAGACTTAGTCGGTTACCGGGGCTCCGACTTAAAGCGCAGGAGAAGTAACGGGGTGGTTTTTAGTCAGTAAGAGTCTGACACTCCCTCCCGCCTCACCCAGGCGGGTGATTTTCCCCCCTTAAAAAAACCGTAAATATGAATTAAATTTTGGAAGACGTTTGATATTCCCGATTGCCCATAAAAGCAAGCAAAAACCAACCTAAACCTAAAAAACTGGAGGAGTTACTCCTCCATAATTCTGTTATTGGGCACTTTGTCACTAGGTAATGTCCAGTTCACACTCCGCTACTTTTGTGTCAAGTAGTGAGTATTTAGATATGTATGTCTAAACACAATAATACTAGCATAGTAAAAAGGCATTAAAGACAAAACTTCGAGTCTGTTTTGTTTTTACTCCTACTTCTTGGATTTACCCATATCTATAAAGGTTTTTTAAGGGAGGAAAATCATCGAATGACTGCTCCCGCCTGGGTGAGGCGGGAGGGAGTGTCAGACTCTTACTGTCTACAAACCACCCCGTTCCTTCTCCTGCGCTTCGAGCCGGAGCCCCGGTTACCCGTTAAGTTCTCCGCGACTCATATTTATAGTTAAGAACGATTAAAAACAAGCACTCTCCATTGAAAATTGGGCTTGAAATGATCTGGTTAAAATGATGTAACACTAAATTCTCTTCAAAGAAACAAAGGCTATTTTGTCATGTTATGTAAAATGTTCAAGGAAAGAAATAAAATTACTTAAGTATAGCATTATTCAAGCAATTAATTTGTGCACATAAAACAATACTAGCACTTAAAGTAATTGCAACTGGGTTCATTGTTGAATGGCTAAACCTTTTTATGGGCACGATCTTTGACTTTGCGTTTTTATGTACCTAGATTACAATTATTATAACTATGATATGTATTTATATTTGTTAAGTGTTTATGCCACGTGTTTTATGACCACTGAAACACGGATCAGTCCTAAGACTGTCTTCATCTTCTAATTTTGTTATAATCCTGAATTCAGTCAGTCAGTTGCCAAGTTTGGGGATTGTTTTAAGTTTATGATTGTTAACCCACTTTGAGCAAGCTGGGTGATTATTGTCCAACGTAACATCCACGTATACATTAATAGTCTCATGTAATAGGTGGTGAGCCTATTGTCATATACCAGGCAGCCAGGCACAATTCCAGACACAGTGCTACTTCTGAGATTTTATAAATCCCAGCAATAGTTTGCCCGACCCGGGAATCGAACTCGAGACCCCTTGCCCGGCAGTCGCACTTGCGACCACTCGGCCAACGAGGCAGTCTTCCAAAATAACAAACATCAAAAATATCAAACTAGTTTTATTTGAATGTCTGTAAGAAAACAAATTTAATTTGGGTCATAATACAATTTGGCAGATTGTCCATTTACAACAATAATAATACCTATTTTATTATGCTTTTATTAAACTGTCAAACACCAAGCGGTCACCGGTGACCGCGACCTATTGTTCTTTAATTGTGTCTATAAAACCGGTACTCGACGAGTTAAATTATTCATGAGATTCTGACGTCTTTGTGTGTATTACACATAAATTATATCGAAAAAACCGTTTGAAAAAATATACCTAGGATTCGGAAAATAAAAACAAAATATGCAAACAAGAATAAATTGTATGTTGTTGATCCAAAATTTGGCTTGTAATCTGTAGGTATTTTAACAGGTAATGGGTCCTTTAGTATACCTGAATGATTCACCACTATAAACTGACCGATAATTATGTATAAAGCTCATACAATGCAAGACCATGATTAACTGGTTCTGCATAGCTTGATATGCCTCCGTGCGTACCTAGCTTAATATTTTTGGTTTTATTTTGATTATCCCTTCTTAAGACGCATTTAATGACGTATAAACACAAAACATAGTCATAAATCTGGTAAAGGTACATACATTGATTAAATAAAAATTTAGTACATAAGTACAATATACAAATCCACTGCCTCGTTGGCCGAGTGGTCGTAAGTGCGACTGCCGGGCAAGGGGTCTCGGGTTCGATCCCCGGGTGGGGCAAAGTATCTATTACTGGGTTTTCATAAATATCTCAGTAGTAGCACGGAGTTTGGATATGCGTAAGTAATTTCATATTAATGTGCATAAAAACGCGTGCGTACGCATAAACACACGCACGCGTACGCACACAGATAAAAATATGCGTGTGCATGTGAGTATAAACGCTGCAGCGCAACCGATAGTAGTCTTGGCAGTGGACTTTTGACCTGTGACCGTACCTCTACATCCATAGGTACTTCGATTACTGACATAGTTCTTTCTCCAATATTCTTATTATTCTTGTATACCAGTACAAATGTCAGATAGCCTATTGTAACCTTTTACATTACCAGATTGTTGAACGCAAAAAACAAACAAACAACACACTGACCTCAATTTTATTGTTATGACTAAAAGTAAAAAAAAAACATTTTCTTCGGTGAATGTACGAATATGAAGGAAGAAACTATACATGATAAATAAATATTATAGGTATGACAAATCTATACATCAGTACATCTGTGTAAATAAAATTTGAGTGTGTGTTTGTGATATTAAAATAACCGCTTTTTACTACATGCTTATGAATATATACATATGCCGGAATACTGAAACGTTACTCAATTTTAAGTCGTGCTCAAATATCGTGCCATCTTTGTCATTTTACAAAGAATTTGTAGAGATATAACTATACTTAAGCACGACTTAAAATATTGAGTAGCGTTTCAGTATTCTGACAATAATCCATTATATTTTTTACAATTTTTGTCTGTCTGTCTATTGTTCTGGCTAATCTCTGAAATGGCTAAACTGATTTTGACGGGAGTTTTATTTTCAGGTAGTGAATTTACTAAGGAGTAACTTCGGCTACTTTTTCCATTACGGATACATGCGTACAGCTACGAAATATGACAGGATGGAGAGGTAGAAGATGACCAAAGGGCAGGGTTAGATAAAAATTGATAGTAAAGAAAAATAAGTTTGTGGTCATATGGTGTCTGAGAGGGAAAAATGGAAGAAGATGACATGATAAACACAGTATGACTGTCATTAATATATGATTGCAAGGTTATATTATTATAATTAGATAAATAAATATACCGACATTTTGTTTAAAGGTCCCCCCTTAACAAAAATGTATATTTATAATGTAAGTTTATATAAAACATCATGGAATTGCTTCAGCCGTGAAGCGGGAGGGAGTGTTGGTACTTTTGAAATATCAAGAAATAAAGAAATGAATAAAAATAATAATGTGTTGTCAGTCGTTCAGTGAAAGTCCATTAGGGATGTTCAGCAGTGGTGATGTCTGGTGGCTGATTTATCAATGATTCAGTTGAAATAATAATAAATAATTCGTTCGAATTTCCTTCGCGTATTTTTTCCAGAACCTTATAATTCAGTGTCATAATAATATCATTTAGTTATTTAAGATTATTTTTTAAGGAAAACGAGTAAACGAGTAGACGGATCACCTGAAGATAAGCAATCGGCGCCGCCCATGGACACCCCAAAAACCAGGAGTGTTACAAAATGTGTTGCCGGCCTTTTAGCGATTAGGAATTTGAGGATTATTGGGCATTCGAGGATTAGGAAACTTAGGGGGATTAGGAAGGGGGGTAGTTGGGCCTCCGGTAACCTCACTCATACGACGAAATACAACGCAAGTGTTGTTTCACATCGGTTTTCTATGAGGCCGTGGCATCAATCCAGTCGTGCCGACCCATTCCTGCCGAAGCATAGCTCTCCCACATTTCAACATGAGTGTGTTTGTGTTAGTAACATATTTTGTGATTAGACGTTTTTAGAGACTGGTCTCAATTTTTTATCAGTTTATACTTAAATTAATTCTTTAGCCCCCACTCCTAAACTTTGATTCGTTTTATCTAGGTATTGTTTTATTATACGACAAAATAAAAAAATACGTGTCTAATATTTTTTCATTACCTTACTTACGGACACTAATTATATTTTTAATTTTCGTACCATGTCATCATCCAAATTATTTTCTATTGAAATTGTACAAAAAAAAACAACGATGTTCCTTATTCTTTACATATTTTTTTCTATAGTAGCTTGCACGTCATGTTTTTAATTATAAAGTAATTTATACACTTAACACAATAATTGTACGAACATTTATTACTTAAAAAAATAAAAGTAATCTAATTGTAATAACAGGAATTACATTATTAAACGTAACACAAATATTAAAAATGCTTTTGTCAGTGTCAGCTGTACGCGTATAGGTAATAGGTAATCTTAAAAAAAATAACTTTATCGTTTGGTAGCACTGTTTTTATTATGTTCCATAATATCAATTTATGTAACGTTTGTAATATTGTTTTATCGTGTTTTTCTTATCCCACGTGGAGAAGTCATTTTGACAATTGTGCACATTTTAATTCAATATCTAACAAATTAATAACTATTATATATAAATTAATATCTTTTAATATAGAAATATTTAAAGATAAAGATATATTTATTTCTAAGTATATGGTACACTAAGATCTTACATTAAATATGGAATCACATACCCTTTCTGGTGTAGAAATTTTAAACTAGTTAAGTCCATACAAATCTTAATTCTCATTTGATATAGTTATATTAATTAATCTAACTTCATTGAAAAAGAATACGTACCTACATGTGCAATAGTTAATGAATTTGAATTAAATAATGTTTATAAAGTTTTAAATCTTCTTCTATACATATATGTAGACATACATATAATAAAATCGTAGGAAAGGGGAAACTGTAGGTACATCGAATATTTTTTTAAAACAATGCTTTGGTCTTGATTGACAGTCGATACTACGGTATCGGCTGTGGTCGTGTGCTGTGGTTACGACCAAAAATATGGTTTTAGAAACTCAAAAAGTGTTGCATGGATTTAAGTACTTCAAATCTTGCATGAACATTAATAACAGGTCGGGTCAACTTAGGCTACACATTATCATGCTATCACCTACGGGGGAGGAGTGAATCACTATTCTACGCGGACACAGCTAGTCACTTAATAAAATATTAAAATTGTACTTACAAAAATCCTTTTTGACAAAATGCTGTTGCTTTTTCACCCATTCTTCTAAAAGATTGACGGCATCATCCATTCTCCCATTTTTATCCAGGTTTAACTCCATTCTCACATGTTCCAGTGTGTCGGGATGGAATTCCAGAAGTTTGTCTTTTAGCACTGTTACCATTTTGCCCAGTCACTTGAACGGCTACTGACTATAAACTGAATGAGATTGGTTTAACACAAGTTTTATCTAACTACAATATTTATCGTACTATGTTTTAAACTTGTTTTGAGACACATGACCTACGTTTATTAATATGACTGGTTATTGTGTGCCTAACTGCGGACGTCACGGCTTTTTATTCCCAGAAGGGACGGTTGAGGTGCATATTTTCAAGGAATCACCGCTTTTGGGAGACGTGCTCAAATAAGCGGTGTTTCTGGATACTATAATTATGTAGGTATATTCTTTTTTTATGGCATAAGCCGGTAAACGAGCAGACGGATCACCTGATGGTAAGCAATCGGCGTCGCCCATGGATACCTGGAACACCAGAGGCGTTACAAGTGCGTTACCGGCATTTTGGAGTTAGGAGTTTGAGGATCGTTGGGGATTCAGGGATTGGGGAGATTGGGGAAGGGCCCAATTAGCCTCGTAATTGGGCCTCTGGTAACCTCACAAGCGTTGCTTCACGTCGGTTTTATGTGAGGCCGTGGTATCACTCCGGTCGAGCCGGCCCATTCGTGCCGAATCATGGCTCTCCCACACTTATTCTGTTTTTATATGAACCTCTAAATAATAATTGATTATAATCTGCAATTGCTGGATCGATGTTATTTTTTTAACTTTTTTGTCTGTTGTGTAGCTGTATAAAAAATAAATGTCACAAATATTTTTAATAATGCAATTATTTAATGATTTGTTGATATTAATAATAACAATGATAAGATTTGTTTAATATCGTAATTTAATCTTATTTATCAGTTTTGAATTGAGGAATTTTGAAAATGTCGTATTTGGTTCTTTTCATACGGTGCGCGTTTCTGCGATAATCCGGTGTTTTTAATTATTTGAAGTTTATAATATTTATTATACCGGGTACATTTTCAGACTCCGTGCTATTATTCAGAATAAAAAAACCAGTAATACATTGCCTGACCTGGGAATCGAACCCGAGAGCTCTTGCCCGGCAGCCGCACTTGCGACCACTCGATCAATGAGGCAGTTAGAGTAACTAGTTGTAAATAACATTTTCAAAAAAGCACGACCTATTTTTTAAATTAGAAGTCTAAATGAGGTCAAAAGACTACCAATGTCACTAGTACCTTGATTTCCAAAATTTTATATTTTACTAGCGAACCCAACAGACGTTGTCCTGCATATCCATTTGAATGTACAAACAAAATTCATTCAAATTAGTTCAGCTGTTTAGGATAAATAACCTAAGCATCGACTGCAGCGCCATCTGCCGGGCTGATTTGTAAATCTAAACCATTCTTAGATCCCCTTGAACACACACAAAAAATTTCGTCAAAATCGGTTCAGTCGTTTGAGAGAAGTTCAGTTATATACACACTCACAGAAGAATTATATATATAAAGATGTACGACTTAGGCTATCGACACCTGTTTTTCTTGTTCCGTTTTTTATGTTAGTAAATAAGTATTGTATAGGTCTTAAATCATTAATATAATGGCGTCATGATTCGTTTCTAGAAGTATTTTGTTATTTTATTATGCACCAAAAGGGTTGATGAACTTGTATATAATTATGGGGGCCTTGTTTTTGTCAAGTCAAGTTTTTCAGCTTACGGCTTCGTCCGTTCGAATTTTTGAAGACTTCTCTCTTGAATAATTATCAATGATTATCGTATAATGTTTGGTAAAATAATGTGGTCTTAATTAATAATAACCGATATGTATGACTGCCTCGTTGGCCGACTCGTCGCAAGTGCGACTGCCGGGCAAGTGGTCACGGGTTCGATTCCCGGATTCGCGCAAAGTACTACTGGGTATTCTCAGAACTTAGTAGCACGGAGCCTGGAATTGTGCCCGGTATATGGCAATAGGCTCACCCCCCCTTACATGGGACTCGTAACATAAATAGTGAAAAGTAGGTTTTACATTGTACAGTGATAATGTACACCTCTGCCTAGCCCTTCGGGGATAAAAGGGGGGCATTCCACTTTGCGCACCTAAATGAAGCGCACCCAGACGAAGCGCACCTAAAGTATTCCACTTTGCGCACCTGTAGGTGCGCTTAAAATAAAAATTTTAAATAAATAGTTTTTCTATTCCACGAAGCGCACCTACGAATATCACTCGCATAGTGCGGAGACTAAGAAATAAAAATATCGATATAAGAACATATTTATTATTTAAAAGACTAACTTAAATTTCTAACATCATTTAGTTTCATTATAATAATGTGACACAATATTGATATTTGTCCATGTTTTTATTGTAATTATGAAACAATCTGTGATTTTTTATGTTAAAGTAGAGTATTTTTATTGTACACTAAACATGTAGCTATAAGAAAACTTCAACAGATCTTTATGTAAAACCATATTTACAATGTTTTTCATATTTGTCCATGTTTTTATTGTAATTATGAAACAATCTGTGATTTTAAATAGTAAGATTACAAAATCAAAATGACAAAATATTGTGTCACATTATTATAATGAAACTGAGAGATGTTAGATATTTAAGTTAGTCTTTTAAATAATAAATATTTTCTTATATCGATATTTTTATTTCTTAGTCTCCGCACTATGCGAGTGATATTCGTAGGTGCGCTTCGTGGAATAGAAAAACTATTTATTTAAAAATTTTATTTTAAGCGCACCTACAGGTGCGCAAAGTGGAATACTTTAGGTGCGCTTCGTCTGGGTGCGCTTCATTTAGGTGCGCAAAGTGGAATGCCCCATAAAAGGCGTGATGTTATGTTATGTTATGTATGATATTAATTCAATATCTTGTAACTAAGATCGATTTTTGATATTAGTTCTATATTCTATAATATCTAATTTTCTTTCACTAAAAATACCTTGTGATCGGTAAAAAACTGACAAAGTACTTTAAAAAAAAAACAACCAGTTTAAAAAGTTAATAGTACCTAATTTATGCTAAATGGTAAACTTTGGATTGCAAAAAAAATGAAGTCATTGAATAAAATTTAAGGTTTACATTTTTATTGCTACAATCCTACAAGGTTGTTTTTATTCCAACAACTTAGTATATTATTAAACAACAAGTTGATTTTTCCTTACAATTGATTAAAATTCAGTATTTTAAACACATGTCATACCTACATGTTCACATAACTAAACAGGATATAAAATGCAAAATATGAATCTCAAAAAACCTTGAGAAATTACCACAATATTTTACAATCATATCATCAATTCAGGCGCTAAAAAATCATCATATAATAATATACGTTTATGCATTTATGCGTAATCATGTTGCATATTATAATATATTTTTTGTCTACAAAACTAGTGTTTCATCTGCAACTTTATCTGTGACTAAGTCTTTAAATACCTATTTAACAGTTTCTCAAGATTTTTTCTGTTAAACGTACCGTCTTGTCTTTTTTGAGTTTATTGTAATCTTATGAATTTGGTAGTTTCCAGGGTATCAAAATTAAAAATCTAATTAGCCCGTCAGTTAGATAATGAAAAAATATTAGACACCTATTTTTTTATTTTCTCGTATTAAGTTGCAATACTTAGACAAAATGGCGCTAAGTTTAGGAGTGGGAGGTCGTTACGTCATAGCGTGCTACAAAATTTGACACACTGTGACGTCACACGATATTTCAAATTAATATATCGTCGAAAGTATTTAATTTGGTGAAAAAGAAAAAAATACGTGTCTAAAGTTTTCAATTAATGTACCAGACGGACAATGAAATAAAATTTAGGAAACTACCCTATTAGTGGTAATTGCCATTGGTCTTCCAATTTAAGGTGGTACTACAGCTATGGAAAAGGCTATGCTCGGAGTCTCTCTATAGGATAGGATCCGTAACGAGGTGATCCGACAGAGAACTAAAGTTACCGACGTAGCCCAAAGGATTAATAGACTGAAATGGCAGTGAGCCGGTCGCATTTGTCGAAGAACCCATGACCGTTGAAGTAGATGTGTCCTGGAGTGGAGACCACGTCTAAGCAAACGTAGTGTAGGGCGCCCTCCAGCTTAGTGGAGTGACGATATACGTAAAGTGGCTGGTAGTGGTTGGATGCGTAGAGCTGAAGATCGAGCTCAGTGAAATGCATATGTCCAACAGCGGACGAGATCAGATCTCGTCAGAATTTTGACACAACCATGAAAACACCGGAACAATGAAGTCGCGCGTCCCAGGGATATGAATACCTGTCTAGGTTCACGCCACGGAATAAGTCTTGACGCACGGTTGGTGCGGTGGCTGGGCAACCGGCTGCCGTGTAACGTGTCGCGGTTTCGATTCCAGTACGGAACAACACTTTGTGTGATCCACACATTGTTGTTCCGGGTCTGGGTGTCATGTGTATGTGAACTTGTATGTTTGTAAACGCACCCGCGACACAGGAGGTAATCCTAGTGTGGGGCAACGTTTTTTTTTTAAATCAGAAGATTTATCGATTATATTGGAGGAGAAAAAAAACGATAGTTATTGGCACTATGCCGAGAAATGGCGTCTTCTCTTGCTATGGTAAACATACTTCGAGAAATAATAGGCGCCACAATGATTGCATAATTGGATAAATTACCCACTGCAACTAATTACGAAGTGTATAGTGAGAATTTTATAATCGCCATTTTTCTTGGGTCAATTAAAACTAAGTACATACGTAACTGAACAGGAAAATCAAATCTGAAAATATGAAAAATATATAAAAAAAATGCTACTATTTATTGCCTTTTTCTGTCTAGCTACTGAGTATTTTTATAGGTAACTAGCGTCACTAGCGACCTGCACTGGCTTCGCACGGGGGCAATGCTGATGTAAATATACCTGCTACAGAATATCCATAAACACAACGGTCACAGCTTTTTGTCATTAGACCATTAATGTGGACAATACTGTGTAGTACATCATCATTTTATGACTGCCTCGTTGGCCGCAAATGCGACTGCCGAGCAAGGGGTCTCGGGTTCGATTCCCGGGTCGGGCAAAGTATTACTATTTTTTTAAATTATTTTTATTATTTTGGTCGATCTCGTAGGGTTCAGCCAGCGTTTGCAATATAAGCGCAAAAAACCGTGCTTATTTACTTCACATTAGAAACCTCTAAATTTATCAGTGTTTCTTTACTATATATTATGCATGTATTATACAAATAAACCTTGCTTCAGAATCGCTCATCTTTTAAACAAAACCGCATCAAAATCCGTTGCGTAGTTTTAAAAATCTAAGCATACATAGGGACAGACAGACAGCGGATAGCGACTTGGTTTTATACTATGTAGTGACAAGACGAGTACATAATACACAAAACAACGTAACAGCTGTTTATGACCAGTCATGGTAAAAAACTTATGAATCCCCTGCGTTTAACATTAGTGATCTCTTAGTGATCTCGAGTTCATTTCTCGAGCAAAGTATTTACTACTTGCAACACGGTTCACGGAATTGTACTCGGTGCAAGGCCATATGCTCCCCTTTGTCTTATGGCTGCCATACACGCTACGGTTCGCGGCGTCTGAAAGGTTTACCTGTGCAGATTTTTTTTACGGGGGGAAAATCATCGAATGACTTCTCCCGCCTGCGTGAGGCGGGGGGAGTGTCAGACTCTTACTGACTAAAAACCACTCCGTTCCTACTCCTGACCTTCGAGCCGGAGCCCCGGTAACCCGTAAAGTTTTCCGCGGCTCCGTATCGGCATCAGCCCTATTGGGCCCCATCCGTGGTGGTCTGATGGCTCTTTGAAGCGCGCGCGGAACGCGACGCGCCGCACGCTCGGGTACCTTTGCAGATATGCCTGCGCATTTAGACTGAACATTGGTAGCGTATTTGAGGACGTTCCGGTTTTTTTTAGTTGTTTTGGCGATGGCGTACGGTGTCACTAGATAGAATTGATTTTCGATTCTGTGCCGGTCACCTGCACAGGCTAAAAACCTGCACAGATCTATTCCCATCCACATTACGGTCTATACTTGAACAGGTGAACCTTCTTGATGAACCGTAGCATGTATGGCAGCCCTATAATAAATTTATAATAAAGTGAATTAAAAATGAACTAGGTATATTCATTAAGGAGAGCCTGGCCCTGCACTGGGTACAATTTGGTGAACAATGTTGCAAGTGGTAAAAACTTGACTTGATCTGAGAATTGAACTCGAGACCCCTTGCCCGGCAGTCGCACTTGCGACTACTCGGCCAACGACGCAGTGTATTTTATTTAGATGTAGGCACTATTCGCATCGCACTTGCCACCCGACGAGAAATACTTCTTCAAGAATCACATGGCGTGATGTTTTGATTATGTAGTATGAGTTCTGTTATAAACCTTATTACAAAGCGGTAAAGCCTAAGTCAGCCTTTACAAATATAAAGTACATTTCCATCGCATTTTGCTGATACTGCATTTCCGTCTAATGCATGGAATTAATATAATGAAATAAAAAATCAGTTAGATTCTGGACGCCGTCACACTATCTATTGTGCTCTGAGTAATCTGAGTATTAAGAGAGACATTATAGAGACATTTCTTCAAGTTTATACTAAAACTATATGTGGTTGTGGTAAACATATTAAAGTGGTTCCGTAGAACATTGTCTTTTATTCTAAAAAAAGGACAAACGGGGTCGGCCTACTAACAGTTCGTATGCACTTTCAAAGTTTGCTTTTTGCAATGGTTCACCACTTATTTTTTGTTTTAAACGCTTTATTGCTTTGTAAAACTATTGTATTACCGAGACAGAACCATTTTACTTCGGGATGAAAACAAGTGTGGGAGAGCCATGCTCGGCATGGGCCGGCTCGACCGGAGTGATACCACGGCCTCTCAGACAACCGACGTGAAACAACATTGTGTTGTGTCGTGTGATGGAGGTTACCGGATGCCTAATTGCCCCCCTCCCCCCTCCTTTCCCCAATCCCTGAATCCCCAACAATCTTCAAATTCCTAATTCCAAAAGGCCGGTAACGCACTTGTATCGCCTCTGGTGTTCCAGGTGTCCATGGTCGACGCCGATTGCATACGATAAGTTGATCCGTCTGCTCGTTTATCGGCTTATCCCATAAAAAAATGATTTCACGGTGTATAATAATGACACACGTGCAAAGTCGCAAGAAAAACCTAGTATAATAAAAAGATTATCTTAGTATGGAACGTATAATTAAAGTCAAATCAAGCAAAAGGTCGATTAGAGTTCTTAGGTACTTCATATTTATTAGATCTGGCCAACATGATAAATGAATTGATTGTAGACATGACATACACGTGATTTCTATGTCATTATTATATAAAAGGTGTTGTTTTAAAGCCGCGTCATTTTCTAGGAGGTAACTCGGCTATCGATTCTGAGTCCAAATCAATAAAAAAATGGTACATAATTTTTTTAATTTTTCTGTAAATTACGCAAATCCGTAAGTGTGAACTAACACGCCGCCGTCTTGTAACTAGCTTTATAACGCGGCATAACACACACAAACTCAAAAACGTAATTAATATTATTCCTAATTCCATAAAACTACAATAAGAAGCATTGCTGTCCTTTTTCTGAAATACTGTCCAACTTAAACCATTTATTGTAGCCGTATTTTTAACTATTGGCCCGAAATTTTCTCTTACATTGAACCCATATGACTTCTGTGACATGCCCCCGAGAAATAACACGGCTTCAAAACTACACCTTGTATATATAATGTATAATTATAATTATATTGACATTCTCGTTGGGCGAGTGGTTGCAAGTGCGACTGCCAGGCAAGAGGTCTCAGGTTCGATTAACGGGTCGGGTAAATTATTACTGGGTTTTTAGAAAAATCTCAGTAGTAGCATGGAGTCTGGAATTATATCCGGTGTATGGCAAATAATATATACCTACTTTTTACTATTTATGTTATGAGTCCCATGTAATAGGGAGTGAGTCTATTGCCGAATACCGTGCGACTTCTGAATATAGTTTTCCCGACCCGGGAATCGAACCCGAGATCCCTTGCCCAGCAGTCGCACTTGTGACCACTCGACCAACGAGACCTAGTAATCGTATGTATTTGCCATAATACATCAACTGTATTATGGCAAATACTGACTTGAATGTTTTATTAAACCCCCAGTTAAAAGTTCAAAAGTGTGTATTGAATAATTATAAGGAAAACAAACAAATAACATTCTGCAAAAAGGTTTTATTTGGCACTTAAATAATGTTTCACCTTCTCCATAATTTTACTACTCTTATGTCGGAATACTCAAACGCTACTCAATTTTAAGTCGTGCTTTAGTATAGTTCTGTCTCCACAAATTCTTTGTAACAGAGATGGCACGATATTTAAGCACGACTTAAAATTGAGTAGGTAACGTTTCAGTATTCCGGCATTAAACTATAAATTAAGTTCTTACTTATTCTAATTTTACTATTTTACAAACCAATTCCATAAAAGAAATATTTTGATTAATTTATGGCGTATGTATGGACCAGAAACCCTGTTACAGGTTAGGTTACTTATTAAATAAATACTTAGGTTAAGCGAATAAAGCTGGTGAAGAGGCTAGCTGTAATTTTAGAATTAGGAAACAAGATTGATATAATGTCTATGATATATATATTTTTTTATGAAATAGGAGGCAAACGAGCAGATTCGATCATCTTATGGCAAGCGATCAGCGCCGCCCATGGACAACTACAACACCAGTGGAGTCACAGATGCGTTTTCAGCGTTTTAAAAAGTATATTTAATATAGACTAGCTTTTACCCGCGGCTTCGCTCGCGTCACAAAAGGATAAAAAGTAGCCTATGTGACATATACCAATACATACAGCGCCATCTATACCAATACTTTTGTTTTCCCTCGGGAATATCTAAATTTTTTCGGGATAAAAAGTACCCTATTATTTAATCCAGACTACTAACTTTACGTCTGCAGAAATTCAATGTAATCGGTTTAGTAGTTACGGCGTGAAGTCGGAACAAATAAACAAAATCACTTTCCGATTTATAATATTAGTAAGGATAGTAAGGATGATTTAAAATACTTAGTCGACACTCAAAGCTCTGAAGGACCCGGGCATTCCAACGTAGTTCTCAGTGAACTTGCTCGATTGTCTGCAGGATTCGATGGTATTGGCTTTGTTCATGATGCTCATATACTCCAGAAACTCTTTGGAGTTAATCACTTCCACCCATTCTTCTGTAATGTGAAAAAATATAATGATTTTAGTATTTTAGGAATGTGTTGTGACAGGCGTTGCGCAAGGCGGATTCTTAAGCTGGTCTTTTCAAAGGATTTGGTGCCCCCTATACAGATGCTGATGGCGATCACCGTAGTAGTTCTATTCCATACACCGTGGCTTGTTTCCAAAAGCTAGGTGTTTCGCTTTGAAGTAATCTTTTGAATTTCGTTGGAGACGAGGAAGTTTCATAAATTAAAACTATGTTAAATTATGGTGCGCGTAGAGACCCCAACAATCTGGAAAAGCTTGTGGTTGTTGGTCGGGTTAACGGGGAAAGACCTCGTGGTCGCTCACCTACCCGGTGGTTGGATGCTGTAAAAATCCTATCCAGCCTGACAGTTCCACAAGCCATAAAGACCATAGAGGACAGGGGCGTTTGGAGGAGGGTTGTGCATCAAGTGACGCGTGCACCAGACTAGACACGACCTTCAGTAATGAAGAGAATGACTAGGAAGAAGAAGTTATGATCCTTTAATACAAACATTCTGGTGTATAAATTCTCAATTATAACTAAGTAGCAGAAAACGCAATTACAATTACAATTAGTCGTCTACCCTATTAGGGTAGACGACTAATTTTTATTTTAATGTCCGTCTGATAGATTATTTAAAAACATTAGACACGTATTTTTTATCTTCTCACAGAAACGAATAGTTTCGAAGATATATTGATTTGAAATGTCGCGTGACGTCACTTCTCAGTACATTTTATACTAAGAAATGACGTTTTAGCCCCCACTCCTAAACTTTGATTCGTTTTATCTAAGTATTGTTTTATTATACGACAAAATAAAAAAATACGTGTCTAATATTTTTTCATTACCTAACTTACGGACTAATTATATTTTTAATTTTCATACCCTGTCATCATCCCCATTATACAGTTATAGGATTGTCTCATTAAGACTGGACACAAGAAAGTGTATTGCTATTACTTTACCAAAGGCGCATTCTGTTCTATATTTCTGAAGGCGCATTAATTCTATATGTCTCATGATTACACTGGCACTAGTTTCGCTAGAACTTAGTAGACTTTTGATATAGAGGATGAACGTCTATTATTTGACAGACGACACCATCAAGAAGGGCCAATAGATGCAGAGCCAATGGATAGTTATCTTTCAGTTTGTACGACTAACGAGAAGGCCTTTGTTTAGCGGTGGATATTTATCAGTTCTTTCTATCTATGATTGTGACAATTATTTGGTTAAAATATTTCCAAAATACTTACTATTTAATTCCAAAACAGATTTCTCCTTGCCACCATAGTCTGATGGCATAATTTCTTTAGGCACAAAATCGCTCAGCGTGTCGGGAGTCTTATGTAAATGTATTCTATCACCAAGTTTAGCACTGAACACCTGCTTCAGCATGGATATTAAGGTATCCACCATTTTGGAGGACGAGATCACGTGGATACCCTTTATCCGACAGCCGTAGCCTTCCTGGAAATTTTGAAGTTCATAATATAAAAGCACAGTTTTACACATGCACACTTTTAGAACTAAGTTTTAAGACAAAATAAGTATTGGTCTGTGACAAAAGAGAATGAGACATATTTTCTCATTCTATGCTCGGGACAAACTGTGCATAGAAAAAGAATGTCCTTAAACGTGCGACATGAGATACTATTCTTGCGGAGGGAAAACAGAATTATTATTAGTACACAGATTTTTTATTTGAGTACTGTTTCAATAGTGAAATTGTAATAATAAGATCGAGTATTTTTTATGGTACAAGCCCGCCACAACCTCCCAAAACCGCTGCAACTTCTGGAAGCCAGGATCTACATTAAATACAACCATGAAAACACCGGAACACTGATGTCCGGCGCGTCCCAGAGACATGAATCAGACGATATTATAAGAAAAGAAGAAAAAAACGATAGGTTCCACTTCCCTCGGTAAATTACTGCAGGATACAGAATGAATTAAGCTTAAAGGCACAAAAAGGAGACTGTACAACTGGGTGAAGCCCAGTCGCCAAGCATCACAAGCAAGGATCGATGATACTTACAGTCATTAAAGTAATGATTTGTCTCAGCTCCATAGGATTGATCTTAGTCACAAAACTTAGAATGTTGATTTGGGAATAATCCAAAATAATTTGGAACCCGGAGCAGTATTCGGCCTGCATCATATATTCACTAATCTGGAATAGAAATAAAAACATATTTTGAGTCCATGAGCTTCAAATAGACGATTGTAGGATTTCATCTTAAATTATCAGATTTTAAATTAAATTAGACTAGTAGAATGCATTTGTGTCAGCTATTTTCTTTTTCAATCTCTTTGACTGCATTTAGGTGTTGCATTGTTCTCACTCAATCGAACCAACAAAACTATGTAACTAGAGAATTGTATTGTAAAGCTGATTGAAAAAGAGTAACCTATGGAGTTTCTTGCTCGTTCTTCTCCATAGGAATGTACACATTGGTATGAGCAACTAGCTTCACTTCTAAATTTTTTTGTTGTAGACGTTCATAAGTGCCTTCCTGGTATAATTAGAAATAAATGATTTTGACTTTGACTTTATCTGTATCTATACAAAAAAAATTCGTCACCCTTGTTTAAATTATTCTTAAAAATGGCTTGGAAGTCCAATCACCTATTGCATGAAAATTGGTTATATGGTTAATGCCACAATAATGTCGTACTCTGTCATACTTAGAAAAAAAAGTTAAAGAAAACGTACCGCAGTCAAGTACTTATAGTAACTGAAGACGTATGAAGACTCCAAGTTTTCAGAGACAATCTTGGCGATGTAGACCCTGTGATGCTGAGGAGTCATTTCTGGGAGATGTGCTGTGTGTCTGGAATTATAAAGAAGGAAATTGTTTACTAAGTATCATAGTACTGCCTCGTTGCCCAAGTGATCGAAAGTGCGACTGCCGTGGTGGTGGGTGGTCGAAAGTGGTCGGGCAAAGTATTACTAGGTTTTTAAAAAATTCTCAGTAATAGCACGGTGTCTGGAATTGTGCCCGGTATATGGCAATAGGCTCACCCCCTATTACATGGGACTCATAACATAAATAGTGAAAAGGGGGTGTTACATTGTACAGTGGCATAATGTGTACCTCTGCCTAACCCTTCAGGGATAAAAAGCGTGATGTTATGTTATGTTATGTTATGTTAAAATAGTCATGCTACTGCCTCGTTGGCCGCAAGGGCGGCTGCCGGGCAAGTGGATGGGTTTGATTCCTGGATCCGGCAAAGTATTGCTAGGTTTTTTTTAAACTCAGTGGTAGCACTGAGTCTGGTTTTGTGCCCGGTGTATGGCAATACGCTCACCCAGGCCCTTAGTTTGATCTGTATGTACGTATATATATAGTGCGCGATTATCTCGTGATCGGCAGAATAAGTGTGGGAGAGCCATGCTTCGCCACGAATGGCCCGGCTAGACCGGAGTGATACCACGGCCTCACAGAAAACCGACGTGAAGCAACGCTTGCGTCATGTTTCGTCGTGTGAGTGAGGTTACCGGAGGCCCAATTACCCTCCCCTTCCCCAATCTCCCCAATCCCTGAATCCCCAACGATCCTCAAACTCCTAATCCCCAAAAAGGCCGGTAACGCATTTGTAATACCTCTGGTGTTCCAGGTGTCCATAGGGGACGCCGATTGCTTACCATCAGGTGATACGTCTGCTGGTTTACCGCCTTATGCCATAAAAAAATTGATTTTGATGTGGTTTTCAGAAAAGTCTTTGTTACACTTAGAAGAAGGTTTTATAATTAACTAGCGACCCGCCCTGGCTTCGCACGGGTGCAATATGTATATACATACAAACCTTCCTTAAGAATCACTCTATCTATTAAAAAAAACCGCATCAAAATCCGTTGCGTAGTTTTAAAGATCTAAGCATACATACGGACATACAGCGAAAGCGACTTCGTTTTATACTATGTATTGATGATTGATATATTAACCAACTTCAAAACAAGAAGGGCTTGAAGTGGGTTTTCTTTTTCTTTTAACGTAGTTTATAAAGAAATTATTTTATTTTCCTTCTAATAACTATATTGTGTTTAAAAAATACGTACATAATTTGTTGTATGGGTTCCAGTTCTTTCTTGACATCGATCGGACTGAAGAATTCTGGCATCAGTGTCTTGAAGGTGCATAGTTTGTCCAACTTTTCTTTCGCTCTCTCCACTAAACCTTTTGACGTAACTATGAATCTTTCTAGGTACTCTCGAGCTGTAACCAATAAAATAAAATTTATGAATCAACCTAATATGAGTTAGAAGTTCTTTGGCGTAGATGCTATTTTTGCTAGGTGTGGTGTTGTTAAAATAGGTTTTACTTTTTTTGTCAGTTCAAAAATAGTGTCAATACGAATATACAGATCAGGGTTTACTCTTGAATTCAATTCCGATCGATCGACTTTGGTATTGTGAAATTTCGTACTCTTGAGTTGCAACACTAGCGCCCATTGTACCGTATTGCGAGGATATTTAATGAACTAAATGATATTGAGCTTGGCTTTATATTGCGTACTCTGAATGCTATTTCAACAGCTACGGTAGGGGTTGTATAGTTTTGACATAGAGTAATTATTGAAATTTTATTGAATTGACATTGAGATAGTTTTCAAAAGTCAACACCCTGAGAGTGTTTTTGTGGGAGTGAGGTGCAAATAGCGTTAGACTTTTACTAACTAAAAGCCACCTGTTCCAACTCTTGCGCTCGGAGCTGGACCGCGGTAACTTACGGTAAAGTTACCGCGCTTGCGCTTCTAGACGCCCAAACATCGGAACACATTTCAAATTTTATTTATGGGATAACCCGGTAAACGACTTTACGGATCACCTGATGGTAAGCAATCGGCGTCGCCCATGGACACCTGGGACACCAGAGGCGTTACAAGTGCGTTACCGGCCTTTTGGAGATTAGAAATAAGGATTATATTAGATTATATTAGGCTTTTTTTTTATGGCATAAGCCGGTAAACGAGCAGACGTATCACCTGATGGTAAGCAATCGGCGTCGCCCATGAACACCTGGAACACCAGAGGCGTTACAAGTGCGTTACCGGCCTTTTGGGGATTAGGATTAAGGCTTGTTGGGGATTTAGGGTTTAGGGAGATTGGGAAAGGGGAAGGTAATTGGGCCTCCGGTAACCTCACCCACAAGACGAAACATAATTTCTGTTAATTGTTTCACGTCGATTACATTTTTTGTTTAGATTTAAACTGTCAAACACCGAGCAGTCACCGGTGACCGCAACCTATTGTTCTTTAATTGTGTCTATAATGACGGTACTCAAAGAGTTAAGTTAACTGTAACTTGAGTTAAAAACGCATGAACGTTTGTAAATTAAATAATTAGGAGGTCTTTACTGAGTCACACTTTTTGAAGGTTATAAATATGACCTCGAGCGATTAACTTCAACCAATAACTATGTAGATATTAAATGTCAAAAAAAATTATGCTGAAAAATATTCGCATACATTGTTTGGGAACACGTTCGATCATGTCATTGTTATGCTGTATTTAATAACAAGTGCAATTATATAATTATTTTTTCGTCTGTTTTTAAGGCCCAGAAGTTATTAAATGTAATTAAAATATTTAACGCCTAGAATAATAATGATGTATAATTAATTTTATGTTATAGTCAAAGTGAATTGCAAGGTTTTGTACGGTCTTGTTGAGAGACCGTAGTGTTTCCATTAATTGTAGGTAGTTATAATATATATATCGGTATCTGGAATACACAAGTTAGTTGCAGTAGGTATAGCGATTTGTTGGTCGAGTTAATAAGTGTACAAGTCTCAGATAATGTATGTAACTACCTAAAACATAAACTTAGGTACCTACTTTCCAAATTTACTTGATTTTTTATATATATTTTTTATGGGATAAGTCGGTTCAATCGGCGTCGCCCATGGACACCTGGAACACCAGAGGCGTTACAAGTGCGTTACCGGTTTTCTGGATTAGGAATTTGAGGATTGTTGGGGATTCAGGGATTGGGGAAAGGAGGGGAGGGTAATTGAGCCTCCGGTAACATCACTCACACGACGAAACACAACACAACGTTGTTTCACGTCGGTCTTCTGTGAGGCTGTGGTCCAAAAAATATATAAATTTCAAAACAAATTCGTTATAATACACAAAAAATATGTTCAAACGATTAACAATGATAATAAATAATCGTCACACTTAATGATTTGATTTCGATAATCTCTTATATAATTATGGTTATTCCATTAAAAAATGAAAAATCATAATCTAATGGACGTCAAATAAACTGGTTGTAAGCTAACTTTGGCAATTTTTTTTACCTTGAATCAGTTCTATACCCTTAAGAAAGACAAAAAAAAGGTTATCGAACCCGGAAACTTCCTTTACAAAACCTCTAACCAATGATAATAAAAAAATATTTATTTTAATGGCACGTCGTTTTGCATTTTCATATTTCGTGTTTATAATTTTAATTTTTTAGTGCCTAGTGGTTTGCCTGGAATGTTTTCCGGTAGATTTGAAAATAGGCGATATTGTAGATTTTGATGTGCTCTTTCCGATTTCTATTTTGCACCCTCGTACGTGCGCTGTTTGCACCGCCATCTTGAAAAAATTGTGGCCAAAAACAGTATTTTTCAATGTATCTTCTCATTATTTTTTTATTTAAACTTTATTGCACATACACTGTAAAATTGTAACGTTTAAAAAAAAGAAAACCAATATACATACTTACATACATGCATAACTTCACACCTTTTTCCCACGGACATGGTAGAGACTATGGAATGCCAATTACTTCGATTCCTACATAACTCTTTCGCTTCATCAACTGTCTTTTCATTAGTCCCTATGCTCGTCGGTTAAGGGTACATTTAATTTAGCCTTTCTTTAATATATCGCCAAACTGGTTAATATATCGCCAATACAAAACCAATATAAAAGATACGATATTACGGTAATTTGTAGAATGAACAGAACAAAAAAAAAATGACAAGCCAATGACGGTCCACTGTTAGACTATGGACATATCCGTCCGTCCGTAAGTATAGTGTAGTTATACTTAGTGCATATAAGGCCGTTTGAAATAATCGAAATACTAGTAAATTGTTTAAAAATGTTAAACATTCAAAATAATAATGTTAACATTCAAAACAATAATGTTACACATTCAAAACAATAATGTTACACTTTCAAAATGTTAATTGTTACATAACATTATGTGGCTTGTGTCAAAAATGTAGCCTACTAAGAGAATATTTAAAAACACTAACTTACCAATTACGTCATTAATCTGATGCAAATCGGTGCAATTGGCTAGTTTCCTAGGTTTAAAATAAATTGTTTCAACTTTTCAATGCAATAAATAATTAAAAAATAATCATACTCTCATCCATTGATTTGACAAAAGTAGGTAAACTTTTGGATTTGGGTAGACAGACGACTAATTTTTATTTTAATGTCCGTCTGATAGATTATTTAAAAACATTAGACACGTATTTTTTATTTTCTCACAGAAACGAATAGTTTTGAAGATATATTGATTTGAAATGTCGCGTGACGTCAATTCTCAGTACATTTTATACTAAGAAATGACGTTTTAGCCCCCACTCCTAAACTTTGATTCGTTTTATCTAAGTATTGTTTTATTATACGACAAAATAAAAAATACGTGTCTAATATTTTTTCATTACCTAACTTACGGACTAATTATATTTTTAATTTTCATACCCTGTCATCATCCCCATTTTAAGGAAATAAGTATGCTATTTGACGCAGAAATATGATGACGTCACAAGTTGCGATCCAATACCAAAATCATATAAAAATATCGTTTTTGACATTCCAATAAAAGTATTGAATTTCAAGACCTTTTGAAGGTCCTTCAGAAATTTGACGACCTGTCAACTACTGGTTGCTGATTTGTGAATTTAAACCATCCAGGGCGCCACTCAAATGCATACAGAAAATTCATTTAAATCGGTCAAGCCGTTTAGGAGGAATTCAATGACATACACACGTACAGCAGAATTATATATATAAAGACTAGCGGACCCAACAGACGTTATCCTGCATATCCACTTGAATGTATAAACAAAAATTCATTCAAATTAGTTCAGCTGTTTAGGATAAATAACCTAAACTTCGACAGCAGCGCCATCTGCCTGGCTGATTTGTGAATCTAAACCATTCCCAGATCCCCTTGAACACACACAAAAAATTTCATCAAAATCGGTCCAGTCGTTTGAGAGAAGTTCAGTGACATACACAATCACAGAAGAATTATATATATAAAAATAATTACTTAACTACCGTCACATCTTTTAATCCCCGAAGGGTACAGGTGCACTCACACAAAAAGTTCCACTAATTTCTACTCATGGGTTATTTTATAAAACCCATATTGCAGCATGAGCTTATTGCCAATACCATTAAAATACCGAAAAGCCAAAAAGACTCCAATAACAATTTGTCCTATCTAGGAACCGAACTCAAGACCTATTCGACAGTCACACTTACAACTGTGCCAGCAGTCCTCACATTGTACAAAGAATTAAAAAAAAAATTAAAAAAAGTAAACTTACGAAAATCCTTCTTAGCGAAATGCGGCTGCTTTTGCACCCAGTCTTCCAAAATATCGATAGCTTCATTAATTCGTCCCGGCTTATCAAGGTTCAATTCTTTTCTCACTTCAAATAAAGTATCCGGTTTGTACCTCAACATACGGTCGCTTAAACTTTCCATTTTGAAACCGACCACACTGTTCGGGAGTCAATCAAAAACTGAACTGGACATAATAATTTTAATAACTTATATAAACTTTTGTTATAGGATTAAGTGTGTATGTTGTTTGAAGTAGTTCGTCTAGTGGTCGTAAGAGCAACTGTCGAGTGCGGAGATGAAGGATCTTACTTACGATTTTTGAGTTGATAATTTTATTGCTATCGTAATGTCGATCTTGAGGCTGTAGTGTTAAAAATAAGAGTCATGGTGGCTCGAAGGTTGGAAACCTACCAACGGCAAGTACCAATGTGACTTTTTCCGAGTTATATGTACATTCTAAGATTATTTAGACACCACTGACTAACGGTGAAGGAAAACATCGTGAGGAAACATAAGCTTATAATTTCTAATTACTTGTTTCTAGTACCAAGTCTAGTGTGTTTTCTCGTGTTTTTTCTAGTACCAAGTTAAAAATTGCCAACCCGAATTGAGTGAGCGTGGTGATTAATGCTCAAACCTTCTCCGTGTGAGAAGAGGCCTTTGGTCAGCAGTGGCCACTTATAGGCTGTTATTGATATTGATGTCGTAAAAAAATATATTGGAAGATGACTCATCAATTAATTAGAAGCATCTTACTAGGGGAGGCCAGAGCGTCATGGAAGCTAAAGTAAGTGTCAATGATCGATATTTTGGATTTCACCAACCCTTAGTGACACTTAACGGTACAAGTAAGGGATTAGTTTAGGTGCATCCTCATGCTTAGCATGATAATTTGAACTGTGGAATAATCTGTCATCGGCGGTATTTTCGCACCGATACGCCTTTCAAGAAAAGAGCGTATTCCTTTTTAAAAGGTTGGCAACGTATCTGTGACTCTTCTGGTGTTGCGGGTGTCCATGAGCGGCGCTGATGATCGCTTACCATCAGGTGATCCGTCTCCTCGTTTGCCTCCTATAATTAATTTTACTTTTGAACTATAGGTTCTACGGTTACAGTTCATTTGAACCTATAGTTCTTCTGCAAACACTGATAAACAGATTGTTTTTCTTCCAACGGCTGCTTCCATTTTTTGCCGACCTCAGTTCACCCGTAATATATTTTTCCATACTTTTTGGGCTTATTCTCTTCCCTTTGCAATGAATGGGTTTCATTCTACTACTATTTAATGTTGTTACAAACAATAATGCCTATATTATATCCAACAACCCTAATAAAATCATAAATGCGAAAGTCTGTATATCTTTGTTCAAAACAGTTGAAGGGATCATCTAGTTACTTCTCCTGCCCGGTTGAGGCGAGAGGGAGTGTCAGACTCTTACTGACTAAAACCAACCCGTTCCTACTTCTGCACTTCGAACAGGAGCCACGGTAACCCGAAAAGCCCTCCGCAGCTCGTCGAGATTAAATTTGGAACAGGGGTAGATAGGGGTGTGGAATAACTCATAGGCTTTTTATCACATTGAAACTAATAATACATAAATAGTCAAGTCTCTTTTTCTTAGTCGATTCCCTCACTGCTGAGGATCGTGACTCCCTCTGATTCTACTCACTAAATGTCGCCATTTATTCATTAATCAACGGAACGAGTTCCGTTGATTGGTGCATTGCAACATTCATAGGTATCTCCTTGGATATGTGGTCAGACCACGTATGGAACTCTGGCCTCTCGGTGTCTTTCCTTCTACCTTACCAGTCACTATGAGGCGTTCCAGACTGCTAGCATATCTGCGAATAGTCAAGTCTACCTACACTAAAATGGGCACCAGTAGAAATTAAATAGTATACGTATTAATGTATATATAGTATAGATATTAATGAAGACAAAATGGTCCCGTACAGTTCGGTTTCAGACGAATTTTCCCCCACGGGCCTCCGATTATGGAATGAACTCCCTGCCGTGGTTTTCCCAGTGGGCTACAACATGGGGTTCTTCAAGAGGGCAGTGAATAGGTTTCTTAAGGGTCGGCAAGACGCATGTAATGCCCCAAGTGTTGCAGGCGTACATAGGCCACGGTAACCGCTTACCATCAGGTGGGCCGTGTGCTTTTTTGCCACCGTCGTGGTATAAAAAAAGACAATTTATACAGAATACATTATTTACATTGACTTCAAACTAGGCTACCTTAATCTTGGGTACCTTCAGTGTAGTATATGCAAGCCAGGAATTAGTATCCTATTGGGCCCTATTATTACTGGAATTTAAGGAAGCCTATATTTAGTAGCGGATGTATGTGACTGATGACGATCAAACTAGTTTGCAACCTCATTGGGAAAAAAATGTACTTTGCACAGCAAAAAGTAGGTGTTGTTTATTTATTTATAGATCAACGGCCTGTGCCTACGTCAAACCAGACCAGTTCATTTAATTTACTATATAAATGCCAAAGTACAATAAGTTTTAAAAATCTATAATATCATCTTAATAATATTTTTATAGCATTCGATGAAATTGACGTATGTAAACAAATTGAAGGTCAGTCATGTAAGTCTGCCAGCGACTGTCTCGTTTGCCGAGCGGTCGCAAGTGGCACTGCCATGCAAGGGGTCTCGGGTTGGATTTCCAGGTTGGGCAAAGTATTACTGAGATTTTTCAAAAAAATTCAGTAGTAGCACTGAGTCTGGAAATGTGCCCGATAAATGGCAATAGGCTCATCCCTTATTACTTACATGTGGGTGTTACATTGCACAGTGGCGTTAAGTGCCGTAACGTCTACCCCTTCGAGGAAAAAGGCGTGAAGTTATGTTTTATATTAACCTGCTAGCGGCTTCACTGCGATCCTGTTGAACAAAAAGTAGCCTATGTTACCAGACCACAATCAACCCTTGTTCCAAATTTCATCTCGATTACTTCAGCAGTTCATCGATTGGTGTGATGACCTTAATGCTTATCCTTTCGTGTGTCTAAGACGAGGATCCACGCGAGACACAATGTTTTCTATTGTGTCTCATATCGGTGCATTCAAAAGGTTAACACTTACGTCACGGTAATATTATCATATATAATATTTATTATAATATATAATATTTATTATCATTTATAATATTACCGTGCTTACGTTGTTTCTTAGTATATAGGGCTTAAACTAAACGCTTCCAAAAAGAGAAGACAGGTAAAAACGAGTATTATTTTCAAAAAAGTTAAGAATTAAATATCTCATTATGTAATTATATAGAGGTACATAATCAACTACTCAAGGCTAATGTTGCATGAGTGACGCGAAAATGAAATCGACAGAAATAATACTAGAAACAAAATTGTGTGCATTTTCGAGAGCATTCCACTAACGCTCTGTATAAATTATTGTTATTTTTCTAGAAGCAATAGATATGTTGTGGAAACCTAAAAAAGGTTTAATGTTAATAGAATAGTGGTCTATTCTGAATAAGTGTGTGTACGAGCAGACGGATCACCTGATGGTAAGCAATCGGCGTCCCCCATGGACACCTGGAACACAAGGGACATGTGTTACCGGCCTTTTGGGGATTAGGAATTTGAGGATTGTTGAGGATTTAGGGATTGGGAGATTGAGGAAGGGGGGAAGGGGGTAATTGGGCCTCCGGTAACCTCACTCACATGACGAAACACAATGCAAGCGTTGTTTCACGTCAGTTTTTTGTGAGGCCGTGGTATCACTCAATGACTTTGACTTTGACTTTCCCGGTAACGCACTTGTAACGCCTCTGGTGTTCCAGGTGTCCATGGGTGACGCCGATTGCTTTCCATCAGGTGATCCGTATGCTCGTTTACCGGCTTATACCATAAAAAAAAACAGCATGGCTCTCCTACTCTTAAAAAGATATAAATTCAGATATAAATTCAATGTCAAATTCATAATATTCAGTTTTCTATTTCGAATCGACTATCGTATATGTCATTCGGCTACTAGCGAGAATCAAAAACCATTGAGTACTTATTTGCTTAGATGATTTCAGATATTTGCTCTAAACTCAATCAGTGGTTTGTTTGCTTCTTACAAATGCTTGTTAAGCTGTAATAAGGCCATTCAGAGGTCAATTGGAGACTTGGCTACTTACTTTAATCATTTAATGTGACGTCAGAACTTTTTAACCGACTTCAAAATAATAACTAGGTTCTCGTGTTCGACCAGAGTGCCAAGCACGAATAACTATCGCAATACCTCTAGTATCGTAACCGTATCGAGCGCGTTAAGCGTTCTGATTGGTTGGTTCACTTGAGCCGGCCAATCAGAGCGCCGAACGCGCTCGATACTATTACGTTACGAATGCGATAGTTATTCGTGCTTGGCACTCTGATGTATGTAGGTATGTATGATGAAGAAATAAAAACATTGAGTAATAACGAAACTTTATGTTACAATTGGGATGATGACAGGGTATGAAAGTTAAAAATCTAATTAGTCCGTCAGTTAGGTAATGAAAAAATATTAGAAACGTATTTTTATTTTGTCGTATAATAAAACAATACTTAGATAAAACGGATCAAATTTTAGGAGTGGGGGCTAAAACATCATTTCTATGTATAAAATGTACATAGAAGTGACGTCACGCGACATTTCAAATCAATATATCGTTGAAAGTATTCGTTTCTGTAAGAAAATAAAAAATACGTATCTAATGATTTAAAACAATCTACCGGACGGACAATAAAATAAAAATTAGGCATCAACCCCATTCTTAGTTTCTACAAACTCCTTTTATTTTAGACGTTTATACAAAACAATTGTTTATATTATGTGAATAAGCGCTTAGACATACGGAAGTGTCGCGGAGAACCTAACGGATAACCGGGGCTCCGGCTTGACGTGCAGGAGAAGGAACGGGGTGGTTTTTAGTCAGTAAGAGTCTGACACTCCATCCCGCCTCACCCAGGCGGGAGCAGTCATACGATAATTTTACACCCTTTAAAAAAAAAACATACGGAAGTATAAAGTTATGATTACCTACTAATAAATAATAAAAAATATGTAAGTACATGAGTAGCGATACCTCGTTTTTCAACCGACTTAAAAAAAAGGAGGAGGTTCTCTATTCGACTGTAT